CATGATAATAATTGAATAACAATAATACGGAATAACTCATTTAAAAATTAAAATATCGTAAAAAACCAACGAAAGAACACAGATAATGTCCTTACCTAAAAGTTAGATAATGACTCAGTTGCTCTAATATAGGTTAGGGGTATGTATTTAAATACTATCTTTCCTTCAGTGAAAACCCCATTTCAATACAAGATCATCGTTCTGAAATATTTAGTGGTACCTCTTAGCGTGATCGCACTGTATAATGGATGAATAAATGTGCCCGACTTCTGTGTTATATTTTCATTATATTATAATATACGTTATAATTTAAATATTGTTTTAGTATAGATTTAACATTTTGACTTTCAAATCATCTCTATAAAATATAATTCAAAAGTCTCATATTTTAGATTTTGAGCGGAGCGAGTAATTTATTGATTTTACCATKATGTGTGTGTTTTTTTGTGTCTGTCATCACTAGGGCTCGGATTTTGTAGAATGAATGTTGAAATAGTTTAATCTATAATTATCCATAGTTGTATTTACGACTCAAGGAAAGGGAATATTATCTGAATTATAAAYCTACGCATTTTTATAGCACGTTCTAATGCTTTAGTTGGCCGGTAAATATTAATCGACGATCAGTAAGGTATAAACGTTTAGTGTTTTTTTAATATTTAATTTTATGTGTAATTGAAATTCGCTATTTTAGAATTAAATTAATAAATGCTTTTTTGGCTACTTAAAATGCTTTTTTAAGGATTTATTTTGCTACAAAATCCGAGCCCTATTCATCACGTTTTGGGGCAGTAAAAGTGCTTCGATTTTTGACTTCAGTATCTCGTTAGATTAGAAAGTAAATCTWGTTGGTACTTTGGAAGGTCAAAAGTAAAAAATTCTTAATATTTTCTAAATAAATGAAATAAACAAACCAAAAATTATGGGAAAAACAGGAAATTTTACGCACAATCAGTTTTCGACAAAATCGATTTTGGTTTTTATGTAACTTTAAAACAAATGACCATAATTATTATATACATGAAATTTTCACCAAATGTTTATATTAGTATATTCTATCCACTGTGCAATTTTCAAAAAATTTTGACTTAATTTGAACTATTTATAAGCATATGTAATTTTCGATCATTATTAGTTTTTTTTAAATTTAATATCGATAAAAATGTATAAGTTGGGTAGAAAACCTTGAAAATTGAATACAAGGCTCCTAACATATTTTTACAATAGCGATTTAAAAATAAAAGAAATACATAGTCACAATTTTTTTTTTACAAGCATTAMAATTTTAATTTTGACAACATACGTAAAAATCACGAAAATTCGCAAATTATTTTAAACTACAAATTCATAAAAAAATTTCTTTTTTAATCTAAGATTTGAAAATTTTTAATAATCTGTAATACATCCTAGACAGATTAAACGTCTCCTCTCAGAATCGTTTTTTGTATACAATGATATTATATAATTGGAATCAAATTTAATTCCATCCATTACAGTAACCTACTGTACAGCAGAGCGACATTCACGACTTGGCGGCTTTTTTTAATAAATACGAACGCAATAATTTTTTTTCAACATGATTTCTTAAAATATAAATAATTGTCCTAGCTGTGAAACGCCATACCATGTCCACCACTATCATAATCCTATTCCAGCCACAGAAAACATTTTTATCCAACATAAGTTAAGAACAGAGTTCTTGCTTAAACTCAAAACAAGAAAATTAAATAGTCATCAGCAAATATTTTTTTTTTTTTATCTCTTTTCACATATATATATAATTAATATGAATTATGTTTTTATTTACAGTTCAGAAAACATTTGAAATCAGTGACTTCACATGAGCCATACGATTTAAGAATAACATCAATTTTGTACGTATAAGAAATGTTATTATTATTCACTAATAATTATACTCGTAATAAGGTATTTAATACRATCCTTTGTCGCAAACTATTTAACATAATAAAATATGGCTTAAATATGGTATTTTGAATTTATACATGTTTTTTTTTTTGATTTTATATAAATTTAACTTATAATAATTATTAAATCATTTCATTTCGTACAATTAAATGTTTTTATACTAATGCACTATACCTATGTCTATATAGATATTATAGTCAAACTATTTATATTTTCTTGTATATTATTCATACTACTTTTTCAATACATTCTGTAAATAAGTATGATATTTTTTATTTATTTATTGTATTTTTTTTTTCAAACGATTGGCATTTAAATTAGTATGTTCTTTTAATTATAGTGATTCTTAATCTTTTTTTTAAATTATGATCGCCTAAATTAGATAATCCATTTTTTGCAACACCTTATGGTGTTCGTGAACATCCCTTCCAAGTTGAGATTTACTAATTTACTTCTTCAACAAAATTAATACTGTATTACATAATCGTGAAATTTATATAGACACAAAACTGGAGATGTCCACTTTGAATTTTACTCTCGTAAATCGGATCAAAAAATTGTACAAGACCTACTGAATCATATGATAGCAAATGGCTCTCTGCCTGGACCAGGGACTGTGCCATTGGTGAAAACCGCTCTATCTTTTCAGCAGGAACCATCGTTATGGTTAAGTGTACGTGAACATTTTTAACTTACTTTTTGTTTAACTAATGAGTTGTACCCTCRATGACTATTGTAGAAAATGGACGTGAACAAAAATCGAGATTCAATACCCGAAGGAGAACCATTTATTATATCTTGCATAGCCCAAGGACCAMCAGATRTGCGATTCAAATGGTTTAAAGATGGAATCCCAATTAATACGTCAATATCAACCAGGTATATTTTATGATTGGATTTTTAATATTTTTTACAATGTATGAACATATGATTTGATTCAGTTTAAATTAGGATTGAATAAATACATAGAGTTTAATAATTAAAAATAGCACAATAAAAAAAAAAAACAGATAACCCGTAAAATTAATAAAAATATAAACTATTTTTTTTATCAAAAATACCTTTAAAATATCAACTTTGATTAATTTTAAAACAGATTTTTATGTGTGTTATAAATACACAAAGGTTTAATAGAATAATTGAATTTTTCTGTGTGAAAAAAATCTTCATGTAAATTTTAAATTGAATTTTTAGAACTTGAGTATAAGTACTTAATATAATATTATCGTATTCTATTGTACTAAACTATGAAAGCAAATTGCACATATTACTTTTGTTTAATCTATAAAAYGTGCTGTATTTTAATATCTATAGTACAAGGTTATAAGTTTATCACTAAAAAAAAATGAAAAATATATCAGCATCATAATACTATATTTTGCTTCAACATATCAAGTTACCAAAATGTAAATAAAAAAAAAATAGTGCCATTAAACAAACATCTTTTGTGACCTAAATCGTTTAAATCTACTAATCTCAAATCATACAGGAAAACGAAATAACCTAAAATTAATTTTAAAATGTGAAAAGATTTTAATCCATCCTAAAGGAATGACCGCCAATCTTACCAAACAGAACGATGAATAAATATATTATATATTATTGTCTATTTTAGAAACATTTGGACGAAAATCAAGAAGATTGACAAACCCGATTACAAGTCTTCCATGTTGGTGATCGAACACGCTGACATCCTGGATTCTGGAAAATTTACGTGCCAGGTRTCTGACCACTCACACCAGCAGTGTCAATCAGTAGCGTTAACCGTGATTCCTCTGCCAGAAGTCATAATGAAACCATCCATAACGGTCAAGCCGGTAATTCAACCTATGCCACGCACAGTCATATTATGTTCGGTTGAATTAACTATTTGTATACATACTTGTTTTGTCATTTTTTGCAGGGAGACAACGTAAYGATTATGTGTTTTTTGAAAAACGAATTCACAAAGTTTGGGAACACGTGGCTGGATAGTGACATGCATTTGGTGAAGATCGACAAAAATGTGTACTGGGAAGACTTGCACCGTGGCGGTAGTGTACTTTATGTGAAGAACATAACGGTGAGAGTACCTACCTATATGAAAAGTTTTATTTATAATCACGATTACGCTTTACCTTTTCGTGATCTATCTAAATCATCCCAGTCAGATCTAAAGTATATAATGTACCTTTAAGAGGACTTGATACGCGCATGTATTGTCTCCATTTTGCACATCTTAAAATACTTATAACTCGCTTCAAAATTAAAGTATAGCAAAAAGCCCATGAGGTCATCCTAATAATATTCTTACCTTTWAATTGTATAAGAATTCAATTCTCTCTAATTWTTWAACTAGCGGAGCTAAACTTGATCTGATGAGCGTAAAGTTTGCTTTGTTACGCACTTGTAAGACGGGACAACACATGCGGGTATCAAGTCCTGTTAAGCGTTTAAATAAAAGTATTGTTTGTAATAAATTTCCGTGTAKATTTTTTTTCATTTAAGTCTCTTGCATTATATAACTCAGTTCCCCGCGTGTAATAAATAATAATGCAGAAACAATAACGAACGCAATCTGCACAAATATCCTACCCCCTCCGGCATACACAACAAAAATACATTATTTTTTTTTCTAACCGCTCTGAGCAACACACTAACAAAACGTGTGTGACGACGTCGGGTTTATCACGATTACATGATTTACGGTTTTCTAATGTCTGTGCGCACTTTTTACCGTATAGTCGTCAGCCGAGTACAGGTGCGAAGCTTCTAACCGGGCRGGCAGACGTAACGCCACCGTTTACGTGGACGTCCTCAACACGAACGTGATGGCGCATTGCGTTTCGGACGGCGTGTGGCCGCTGACGGGTGCCGGCAAATCGGCGTCCATGGAATGTCCGAAAAATAGGTCGACCAGTTACGCGACACGTGCGTGCGTGCTGACCGCGGCCAATCGAACCGAGTGGCAGAAAGCCGACTATTCGCGGTGCGCACCGGACGACCTAAACAAAATCACCATGAACGTAAGTATACCTGTACATACAATATACATAATAACAATAATAATGGTATAAATGCAGGTGCCTAAGATATTATGCCATACCTACAGGCTGATTAATATTCTATTGCGAACCAGTCTTAAAAAGTACAAAAAGTTTTATTTTTTTACTTTATGATAGAAAAATACACCATGTACAATCGATGTAGAAACTAAATTATGTGTATAAAAATTACGTTCCTAAATTTACATTAGGTACTTGTATTCACTGATTTCGCTTCGTCGGGTTCACGATAAAATAACCACCCAAATAAATGTATGGTTGTAGACGTTTATCGCGTTGTGTGGACGTGTTGATGGGTATTAAAATTAGGCCCAGTGTAGAGTTGGTAAATACAATTTTTTACATACGAGTACACACGAAYAAACCTGTCCATCAGTAAATATTATAATGTTATAAAAATGTATTACTAGCACTGTCAACACGCGGCTAAGCTACGTATATATTTGTTCTGTTATCAACATTTACAATACATTTTACCTACTATCTGTATTTAACGCCAGAATATATTAATAAATTATGTAAAGAGATATCGACAATATACACTTATAAAAATTTCCTAAGCTTAACCTATAACTTCAGGATAATGGTGTACTTATTTTGCATACTCGTAACGCCTTGTTTCCTCCAATTTCATTATTGAATTTCATAAATAAAATTAATGCACTCGTCGTTATGAACTAATAGGTTAAGGGCTAATTAATACAATTTTTTTATTTTTTTTTTTATTTTACCCATAATTCTGATTTACATCAAAAAAGTGAAATTTACTTGGGTATATCGCATTATAAATATGTATTATTTAAGTTACTAAACAATACTCAATTATTATCTTAATGATTAACTCCATTAGGTACAAAACGAAAAATCTAAAAAAAAACATTATGTCAACTAACTCTGGTTGCAGGTTACTTAAACTTAAATATTTTTTTTAAATAACRTGTAATTCGTTTTTTCAAGTAATACTGTATACATTTTTTTAATTACCCCATAACTAATTTTATAAAAAATAATTTATTTTGTTGATAACACTGTGTAATGCGATGTAAATCACACAATTTATGTTTTACTCTTTATAATGGACATACAGTTGAATAATCAGTTGATGCATATGTGGTGTTACGTTATGGCCAACACACTTACTCTTAGTTAGAAACCGTAGTCAAATCGGCTACAGTTTTCCATTAGATCCACAATTAGGTACAATACAATGCCCGGGTTAAAAAACATTGTTTCATTTAAAACGTACATTTGCTGCAATGTATTATACATAAATATAAGGCTTTCAAGGATTTTTTGTATTTCATTAGATTCTAATGATTAGAAATCTTATTCGAATAGGTTTTTTTTTTAATTACGCTTGCTGTTTTCTTTCGAAACCAATAGGCATCTATCCTGTCCTGTTCCGAACACGGATCATCCACTTTGTCAATAATTTCAATAAATATTACAGTATTGGAATACCAATATATAGTCACAATGTAATTTTGAAGTGTATTTACAATCGTGTGGATATGTGTATACTTAAATAAAGCATTGCCTATGTAGTTTATAAGTAAAAGTATACTTACTAACGGCCGCTCAGCCAAGACCAAGTTTCCGAATTTTCAGTTTAATTAAAAAACTTTTTTATTGATGGAGATTTTACGCTTTTTCTTCGTCTCTGATTTCGTAGTGAAATCGACAACAAAAAAAAAAAACAAACAAACAAATATATACACATATATATAAATAAAAACGAGCAATGAATACGTCTGACACTTACGCCGTCACAGCCGACGCTACACGCCACACTTCCGAGAAACCATTCAACGGTACATTTTTTTCTGTTTAATTTTTTCTATCCAACCACTATACACTATCTGCATGTGAGTTTACACTGACAGCACTGCATATTATAGCATTATAATATACTATTTATACACATCTATATTTATRTTCACTGCACCGTTGACATTGAGGTTTACACCTCCTACCGCGTATCATAATTATTGTTATTGCATGAATTTCAAACGGGATCGTGCATAATTCATTTTCAGTTCCGTAAAAAAACGTTGGGATACGATAAAGTCAACGTGACGGTCACAAAAACGTTGAGTTCACTTTATAGTGATCTTCATTCCACCACCAAATGGTATCCGGGCGAGGGTGAGCCCGTTATCGATTTCCTCGTGTCCGTCACGGCGTACTTACAGAAATCGTACGATTTAGGCGACCTAGACCAAGCTACCATAAGCTTTGACAATATACTCAGCATGCTGTTGGAAAACGATTCGGTGGTCAACGAAAAGGTAAGTGTTTACTATAGCTTTCATCTGTGGATTATAATACGTATACAATATATACATAGTTATTATTATTATTATTGTCTATTGTATTATATTATTACTATATTATTATTTTGTTATCTGTCAGAAAATCATTCAGCTTTTGGATATGATCGAAACGTGGACGCTTTTAAAAGCATTTTACTTGTTCACCAACAAAGGAACAAAACAGTACACCAACCAGATCGAAAATATACATATCGCGTCCGCCTCGGAAGTAGTGATAACTCACAGCAGAAATATAACGCACCGATTTTACGACAAGTACAAGCATAATGCAAATTTTTTTTTATACATATAATAATAATTCACTTGAAACGGTGTCTTTATTCCACGTTCGATTTATGTGTTTCACAGACAGACCATTAGGCCCTCACAACAACCAAAAGTAATCGTTTCCATGTGCGACGTTCAAATCGACAAATGGATAAACAAATCGTTCAATGTAGGAGTCACGACGTTYAGTAATCTATCGGAGTTTTTTCCGAGAAAATATTTCATAAACAAGAGGTAAACAAAGATGAAATTATTTATCACGGTTTCGTTCGATAAATATGTTTATTATTTTTTAAACAAAACTAACCGAATTAGGATATTTTAGAATACTGAATGCAGATATTATGTGACTTGAATCATATAGTCACTGATGTCGAAAAAACATTTCCTTTGGGAATTTTCGTTTTTTTTTTCAAAATTATAATATTTRTTCGGTGTATGCTTTGTCCAAATCATTTTTCTTATGTCATAATTTTATTTATTTATGATTATTATTATTTTTCAAACATATTTTCAGTGCTAGATTTCTCATAATATAGAATATTATAT